ACAACTTTTATTTATTTGTTTTTCATATTTTTCAGTTATACACAGCTTTTAAATATTTATTTTTCAAGTATTAAGAACATTTATTTCAGCTTTTATTTTGAAAAGCAACACCCAGTTGTTGTAAACGTGCACAGTGAGAGCTGCTGTGGAGGCTCACTTTACCTCAGTGCGTTACAACAACAACGAGAGAACGGTCGAAACTATCGTGACCTACAATAAACATACTTCAATAAAATGCATAAGTGAAAACATAACATACTTTATAAGTACAATAAATCATACTTCTTTGTCAAACATCGCAAAGAAACGTTACCTCATCAATAATCCTCGTGACTTTGAGGGTTACCCACAGCCAATCAGTGTTCGCCGCCGACAAACGCCTATTAAATACTGTTAGCCAATCAGTGTTCGCCGTCCATAAACGCCTATTTGCCAGAAACGCCCACTTTTGGTCTGCAGATACCCCCTTCTCTGCAGAGCAGCAGAAGGTGAGTGTCTATTCATTCGGTTTTTCTGTCCTTTTTCTACTTTTTTCACTTGGTGTTTGTTTATGTTAGTTATTTGTGGGGTTTGGTGTTTTATTAGTTTAAAAAGTTTGTTTGACAAGGTGTGGCCGTCAGATGCACCTGGCTGGCCGGCGTAGACGCCATGGTGGTGGAGAGCACGGGAGGATCCTCCACGCTGAGCGGAAAACCGCCATCAAGGTGGTGCTGGCTCTCCGTGCAGCGTGGAGGAAGTTTGCTTAGCGGGGGGGGGGGGGGGGGGGGTTTGGACACGGGTCCATCAGGTCCGCAGATGCATGAACGGGGCTGTGTGGGCTATTGAGCAATAAGTCTGATTTATGAAATATTAAATTATGTAAAATCATGAAATGCATAAAAAATGAAAAATAAAAGGGTGTGCCTCGTCTGACTCATCTTGGAGAGTAGTTTGGTGTAAGTTTTGTGTGCGTGGGTCAAAAGAGGGGGGGGGGGGATGGTTGTATTGTGGATTATTTTCCTAACCTGAAAACATTTTATTTCTCTTCCAGACATCACATTAGACACAAAAAAGAGTCAGGTTTTACAGATCAAGAAACATTCAGATTAAAGAAAACAATGAGCAAAGTCAGAAAACAATTCTGAACAAATAATGAACAGCAGCATTTTAATATTCCTTATAGTCTTTTTGTACACGCTTTTAAACCTCTCACTCACCATGGATGCTTTTAAAATAGCATCATTAAACCTGAACGGGGCCAGAGAGGCTGTGAAACGTGCACTGGTTTACCAAACCATAAAGTATAAAAAAATGGACATTTTATTTTTACAAGAGACACACAGTGATCCATCCAATGAGACAGAGTGGTGCAGGGAGTGGGAAGGGGAGGACTTTTTTAGCCATGGCACCTCCCAGAGTGCAGGAGTGGGACTCTTCTTCTCTAAAGCTTTTACTCCCAGCCGCATAGAGGAGGTGCAACACATTGTTCAGGGAAGGTGTCTTTTAGTCAAAACCGAGTTTGAACATTTTAATGTAATTTTTATTAATATTTATGCTCCCACTGCCAATGCAGAGAAACAACGTTTTTTAGACAAAATTGGGGAAAGGTTGGGAGATTGTGGGTTTGAAGATTGTTTTTATAGAAGGGGATTTTAATTGTACTGAAAACGAGTTTTTAGACCGCAGTCATGCAGAGCCTCATCCAGCAGCCCGGCGCCCAAGTAGGTATCTCTGCAGCCAAATTCGGAAGGCGTATCTGGGCGGTCATATCTGATTGGACGAGAGAAAAATAGGCGTGTCTGGACGGCCACATCTGATTGGACGATAGAAAAAAAGGCTGAACGATAAAATGCCGTAACCACAGACACATTATGTCTAAAAACAAGGTGTTATTGGCAGATTGTGTTAACCACAGGCATATTATGTCTATGGTGTTAACCGGTTCGACATTAGCGGCGTCTCGGTTCGACATCGCTCCAGTATACTGCCGCGGCGTCTCCATAACTTCTTTTTTCGACTCTCTTAACACAGAACTTCCGGTTACATTTCAAAATAAGAGCAACATAACTGGGTAGTGGGGAGAGCTAAATGTTAGGTTTTTTTTTAATACCTAGCCATAACATTAA